TTTTGTTACCAATGTTATTTGATATTTGTTATAAGTCGGTGTATTTAATGGTATTGGCAATGTTTGGTTAAATAATGTGCTTTTGTCTTTACTTATTTTTAGTCTCCTTGGATGTGGGATACACGGCATTGTTGGTACGGTTACCCCTACCAGGTATGTTGTATCTCTAATAATTCCTTAAAGTCCATTAAACAAGCAGTGTTAACCATAACAGTCATTCCCAAATTGAAGCAACCAAATGAAGAATAAACTATTGATTTCTTGGTGATTGGACTGTACTCAGTGTTCTGTGAACAGCTGTACTAAATAAACTGATGCACAGAAAGCCATGTGCAGATAAGTAGCTAATGTTGATTTTTTTTTTTTCCCCTGTCCGACTGTCACAGCAGAAGCATTATCAGTATCTGTTTGTTCTTACTTCACTTCCTGATCTTCGGTACACAATAATGTGTCATAAAAACCAGCCTGACTACTATTTATAACTCACAGACATTGCTTTCCTGCTGATAGCCCTATATTATGCTGAGATTAAAGCTAATAGTAATTCAGTTTTATTTATACAGCGCCAAATCACAACAGTCGTCTCAAGGCACTTTATATTGTAAGGTAGACACTACAATAATACACACAGAGAAAAACCCAACAATCATATGACCCCCTATGAGCAAGCACTTTGGCAACAATGGGAAGGAAAAGCCCTCTTTTAACAGGAAGGATGCTATACTATAATCTTCTGTTCTTGTTGGCTGGCCTGATTTTTAAAAAATTCTGAAATATTTTAAATGTACTGAATGAACCTCACAAGTTTTACAGGCACTGATGTGTTGATTGTCATTTAAGATAAGTAAAGGACATTTGTCATACACTTTTTATCATGTCATATGCCTGTCAGGCTTTTATTGAACAACATCAAATACAAGAAAGTGAATGTGTGACACTGTTTTATGCTTTACATCTCAGGTACTTTTATCACACATGTTTGTAACAGAATTTATCAGTCACCACCAAATTTATGTTAATAAACTAAATCTAGCATTATATTGTAGTTTTTAACTTTGGTTTGCACTATGACTGGCAGGAAGCAGTTCACTGGAAAGCACAGCCTCATGCAATATTGCAACATTATGACATCATTCTGATTCACTAGGCAAAGATCACGTTGTGCACTGTGATGTTTTGCAACACTCCAACAAGTGGTGACAGCGTGTCGGTCTCTAGAAGAGTTTTAAAACCGGCACTTTAAAATAGGTGAAAGTCATTCAAACCTTCCTTCTGCTTTCTCTCTCTCTCTCTCTCCCCTTAGGCCATGACTCCAGGTCTTTATCACTACTATGTGACAGAACTGGCCTTCTACTGGTCGCTCATGTTCTCCCAGTTTACCGACATTAAAAGGAAGGTGAGGGGAACACCGATCACGTGTTTGCTAGATCAGATCGCAACAGATACTCCACAGCTGCAACTTTCCGTTAAACATTGGTCAATAAGTCTTTTGTTCCTTATTTGGCAGAGGCAGAGAAAATGAGAATGGGTGTGTA